CCTCCCCCCCCCCTTTATTTATTTGTCTCCTTTTATTAATTAAATTGTCCCCTTTTATTAATTAAATTGTCTCCTTAAATAAAAATAAAATAAATATTTATATAAAAATGTTTTTTTTTTATTTGTTTATTTATTATACAAAAAAGAAACAAACAATTATTATGTGTCTCCTTTTTTTATTTAATTGTCTCTTTTTTTTTTTTTTATTTAATTGTTTCTTTTTTTTATTTAATTGTCTCCCCTCTTTTTCTTAATTGTAATAAAAAAGAGATAATAAATAACTAAATAAAAAGGAGACAATTATTTTATTAAGTGTCTCCTTTTTATTAATTAATTGTCTCCTTTTTTATTAATTGTCTCCTTTTTATCCTCCTAATGTACTAAATCCCCCTACTAGCAGCAAATTAGAGGGAATAAAATTGCATGCACGGAGGGCTAATGATCTACTGTACATACACCTTAGCTGCTGCAGCTCAGCAGCACCACCTAAACTCCTGCTGCTGCTGCCACTGCTGCTGCTGCTACTTAAGCTGCTGCTGCTGCTGCTTAAGCTGCTGCTGCTGCTGCTGCTTAGGCCATCGTGGGGACCAGAATTCATATCCGAGCGATGGCTTATGCCACGGGCAGCTGCAGCGCAACACGAACACACAAGGACACACCCCTGCTGCTGCTGCTCCTGCTGCTGCTGTTGCTGCTCCTGCTGCTGTTATTGCTGCTGTTGATACTCACCTGCTGTTGTATCCCACAGCAGCACGCGACCGTCTCCCGTTGCTGCTGCTAGGAGAGAAGAGTTATAGCAGAAGGAAAGGGCCTTTGGATACGTTGCTGCTGCTGCTGCTGCTGCTGCTGCTGCGCTGCAGCGACCTTCAGCAGCAAATGCAGCAGCAGCAGCAGCATGCGCAGGAGGAAGCCCCGCATACGCCGTAGCCAACAAACCCCCAGAAGGAATATCCCATATATATACGTAGCCAGTCTCGTCTGCAGCACCCAAACCCTAAACCCTAAACCCTAAACCCTAAACCCTAAACCCTAATAACACGCCCTACAGGTAATGCAGTGGATCTGTCGGGGTGCAATGGGCTGCCCTTCATGACCCTCCTAAACCCTAAACCCTAAACCCTAAACCCTTCTGACCCGCTGCTGCGACGAGACGTCCATTTGACGATACCGTGATGGCGGTAGGCTCTTTGCTACTGCTGCTGCTGCTGTAGCTGCTGCTGCTGCTGTAGCTGCAGCTGCTGCTGTATGCAACTCGCCCTGCACCTGACAAGAGCCTGGGGTCAAGCGGCCACCGCAGTGTGTTATCTGCGTAATTTCTTGCTGCTGCTGCTGCTTCTGCTGCAGCAGGTGTACCAATGCCTCCACCGACAGCAGCAGCAGGAGGAAATCCTGCTGCTGCTGCTGTTGCTGGTCTTGGTGGTGTCCAGCTTCTTACAAGATCTGCTGCTCTTAGATCAAATAGTCTTATTATACCATCAGATGCTCCTGTTAGCAGCAAAGAAGAATTGGGGTGCATATACACCTGAGGTACATCAGCAGCACAACCTCCGTGCTGCAGCAAACGCAGCGGGAAAGATCGAGATGTACACCATAAACGAGCTACATTGTCACCACCTCCTGAAGCAAAATAATGCCTGCAGCAGCAGCAGCAGCAACAGCAGCAGAAGCAGCAGATAAAAGCACAGTATGAGCATTTTATGCAGCGGACATAATGTGGGCAACGGGGGAACATGCAGCAGCAGCAGCAGCAGCAGCAGCAGCAGCGGCAGCAGTGTTGTTGTTGTTCCTGCTGCTGCTTCATCATCATAGGCAGCAACAGCAGCAGCATCAAGAACAGCAGCAGCAACAGCAAGAACAGCAGCAGCAGCAGCAACATACGCACCCCAAGGGACTGGAGGAGAGACTCCAAATAGGCGAAGTCGCTCCTCTATATTGACACAAGGGCAGCAACTGCAGCTGCTGCTGTTGCTGCTGCTGCTTTTTTGCATGCAAGCCTGCTGCTGTATCATCTTCATCTCCTTCTGCATCTGATGCAGCACTCTCCTGCTGCTGTTGCTGCTGCTGCTGCTGCTGCTGCGAGTAAGGAGTAGGCCATAAGCGAATAACACCATCGCTTCCTCCTGTAAGGAGACACCTATCGTCTGCCTCAGCAAAGGTAAGAGACAGTACTCTCCCTACATGCCCTACTAGTTTATAGCAGCAACTGCTGCTGCTGCTGCTGCTGCTGCTGTTATTGCTGCTGCTGCTGTTGCTGCTGCTGTTATTGTGGCCACGCTCAGACTTCATATGCGAACCGTCTTCATCCATCGCATCCCCTCTACCTGCAGCAGCAGATTCTGCTCTATCCTCTACATCGCTGCTGCTGCTGTTGCTCTGCTGCAGCAAGGCCTCTATTGCTTTCGCCTCCGCTCTCTGCAGCAAACACAGCAGCAGCAACAACAACCAGTAAATAACAAGCATATACAAAGAGACTTCCCTCAGCAGCAACAACAATCCTAGCAACAAAAACAACAGCAACAGCAACAGCAACAGCAACAGCAGCAACAGCAGCAGCAGCAGCAGCAATATATTTACCGGTTGCTGTGCTAGATCCCATAGAGTAACAACACCAACCCCACCCATAGCAGCAAATTGTGGTGTTTGTTTCCCTAAGACTAAACTGCTGCTCTCCTTATCTGTATTCATAAAACTATAGCAGCAAATTGATGGTAAATTTGTTGGACTTAGAGGTGCCTGCAGCAGCAGCAACAGCAGCAGCAGCAGCAGCAGCAACACAAGCAGCAGCAGCAGCAACAGCAGCAGCAGCAGCAGCAGCAGCAGCAACACAAGCAGCAACACAAGCAGCAGCAGCAGCAACAGCAGCAGCAGCAGCAGCAGCAGCAGCAACACAAGCAGCAGCAGCAGCAACAGCTATTTGAATAGGACTGATGTTTAAGATATATGCAGCCAAAAGGGACAGAATATTAGGAGACAGCAGCAGCAGCAGCAGCAGCAGCAACAGCAGCAGCAACGCCACAACAACAACAGCAACAGCAATAACAGCAACAAACAGCAACAGCAACAGCAACAGCAGCAGCAGCAGCAGGAGCAGGAGAATAATATATATATTACCCTATGCTCAGCATGCTGCTTAATATATTTTCTTAATAAAAGGAATGCCTCTGTTGATGCCTCAGGCAAAGGAAGGAGACACCTTGGCTCAACTAAATCTGTCTCCTTTAGTGTCTCCATACCTAAGACACGGACCCTCTGTATACAAATTAATAAACAATTCAATATATATATATTATTTATTTATTATATTTATTTATTTATTTATTTATTTATTTATTTATTTGTTTATTTTATGGTTATTTTATTAAGGAGACAAAAAAAAATAGAAGAAAAAAGAGACAAAGGAAACAAAAAAAGGAGACAAAAGAAAGGAAAGAGACAACAATAAATAGCAAGCATACATCCCCACAGCAGCAGCAGCAGCAGCAGCAACAGCAACAGCAACAGCAACAGCAACAGCAGCAGCAGCAGGAATACCTTCATTTTTTCTCCATTAGGTAATGTAATAAGAACATCATCTCTATAGAGTTGTCTTGGTAGTCCCCAGAAGACATGTCTTTGCTGCTGTTGCTGCTGCTGCTGCTGCATTTGCTGCTGCTGCTGCTGCTGCTGCTGTTGCTGTGGGTACTCGAGGCCCCCCTTTATATGTGGGGCCCCACTCGGCTTATGCAGCAACTTAACAGCAGACTGCAGCAAAGCCTCCAATGGTAAACTTCTTGTCTCGCTTAGCCAACGACGTAACATTAAGAAAGAACGTCTGCATGCATGCATGCATGCATACATGTATTAATAAATATATATATATTTATACCTAGGTAGGTAGTTAGCTATAGCTAGCTAGCTGCTATAGCTAGCTATAGCTAGCTATAGCTAGCTATAGCTAGCTATAGCTAGCTAGCTAGTATTGATGACTATTATTATAAATGGCTATAGGTAGCTAACTTGAGGCTGCAAAGGGAGAGGGAGAAAGAGACAAAAGGAGACAAAAGGAGACATCAGTAGCAGCAGCAGTAGCAGTAGCAGGAGCAACATACTCTGACAAGTAGAGGGAATGTTTCTCTTCTCCTTGGAAGTAAGGGACTTGTTGCAGTTGCTGCGGGTGCTGCGGCTGCAGCTGCTGCAGTTGCTGCAGCAGCGCACCATGTTTCCCCATATGCTGTGGTCCATAGACCCTAAGCAACTCCCTCGCTGCAGCAGCATCATCAACAACAGCAGCAGCAAGAGCATCAATAACAGCAACAGCAGCAGCAACAACAGGAGCAATTGACCTCAAGTTACAACAATCCCATACAACAACAACAACAACAGCAGCAGCAGCAGCAGCAGCAGCAGCAGCAGCAGCAGAAGCAGCAATAACATGAACAGCATCATAATAAATATCCTGTCTACGTATACATAACCATAACCACGACCATAACCACCACAATAACCACCACAATAATAAGCAGCATAAACAGAATAAGCAACAACAACAGCATAAGCAACAGCAGCAGGAACAGCAGAAAGAGTAAAAAAAAAAAAAAAAAAAAAAAAAAAAAAAAAAAAAAAAAAAAAAAA